TAACAGCACTTGCCTCAACAGTCTGTTAAGGCTAGACGGGGGATCTTTGTCTTTGCGTGTGCGTATATGTCTAAGCTGGATGCGCATATTTTTACGCTTTTATTTGTGTATTTAGCGGTGTTGCTAAGCAACGCATAAAACTGACAAGCGGTCAGTAACAATCGGCATCACGACCCAGAGAGTTGCAGAAGACAAAAAGCTTGGAACGCGATTCTTACATTGGCAGCTGCCGCACTAGACGCATGTGCGTGAGTGGTGCGTGAGTGGTGTGTGAGTGGTGCGTGAGTGGTGCGTGGGTGGTGCGTGAGTGGTGCGTGGGTGGTGCGTGAGTGGTGCGTGAGTGGTGCGTGGGTGGTGCGTGGGTGGTGCGTGGTGCGGTAAGCATCAGCACTGGTGAGACAAAGGCGCTGTTGCTGGCCGTCACCCACCCCCTCGTGTGCGGTGTCGGCCTTCGTAGGTGCTGCTACTCGCTAACAGCACTTGCCCCAACAGTCTGTGAAAAGGTTATACGGGGGACCTTTGCCTTGGTGTGTGTGTGTGTCTTTGTTATCAACGCACGGAGGTTTCGATGCGCGTGATTTTGTTGTTGTTTGCTGTGCCGCGCGATCCTTTGCGTCCCGTGACTGTCCGTGTCGCGCCTGCGTGTTCGTGGTGTCGCGCCGACGTCGTTCGCGACGCGACGCGACCCGCAGTCGCGAACGGTGCCGGCGAGTGACGCCGAGACGCGTGGCAATAGAGACAAAGGTCCACCCGTGTAGCCTCGACGCACTGCTGGGACAAGTGCCGAGAGCGAGCAAGTATTGACGGTCAGCGTGACTCGCGAAACGTTTGGCGTTGCGACCTCCATATCACCCACCACCACCCCCCACCCAAACCCACCGCCTTTGTCTCCCCAGCGCTGATGTTTGCACACCGCAGCAGGTAATCATTTGTGGCCGAGTCAACCTAAGGGAGGCTCGGGACCGGTTCAGACGTGAGCTAGCGATGTTGGCTGTAAGCGCGGATCGAACTTGGGTGGCCGGGTTCATAACGCGACCGCTCCCATGGGATATGTCACCGCACAAAAGGCCAAGGTCCCCGGTATAGCCTTTAACGTTCTCTTGGGCAAGTGCTGTTCGCGAGCACCTATACAAAAAATCACGAGGGGTGGAGGGCCAGCGCCATGGCCGGCCGCCTTTGTCTCCCCAGTGCCGATGTGTCACCACACGCACTCACGTGCACACACACACACACACCATACATATATACATACAATATACACATCATTTCTAGTCTATGTTGAACTCGAGATCACAGGATTGAGTCTCGTTTGCAAGAGTGACCCGCTGGGTCAACAAAATAACAATAACACAACCAAGTATAACAATGCACAAAGACAAAGATCCCCCGTGTAGCCTCAACAGAATGTAAGGGGCAAGTGCTGTTAGCGAGCACCTATAAAGGCCGGCACGGCACACGAGGGGGTGGCTGTGCCAGCACCACGCCCGGCCGCCTTTGTCTCCCCAGTGACGATGTTTATACATCGAAGCAGGTACTCACTTGAGGCTGAGTAGACCTAGGGGAGACCCAGGACCGGTTCAGATAATACGCCACTGGGTGTTGGCCGTGAGCGGGAATCGAACCCGGGTTGCCGGGTTCGTAGCGCAGTGCGCTAACCACTACGCCACCGCTCCCCACGATGTACGTACATAGACACACACACACGCCATGTGTGCATATACGTCTTTGTGGTACATGTATGGGCACACGCACATACAGCACATCGCACATAGTAGCTGTTTATCCTAAGCGAATGTTGCGGGTACATGCTGCTAGTCAGCACCTATTATGGCCCCGCGCCCGCCCGTCTTTGTCTCCCCACGCGGTGCCAATCACTCGTTCATGGCTGAGTCGACCTAGGGGCGCTGGACAATGGCACACACCACGTGACACTCACGCGCGTGGCCGAGAATCGATCTCAGGTGGCCGGGTTCACAGCGGCCAAACTGCAGCTCTCCCCCCACACACACCACACACACAGGGTACACACACACACACAGTACACACACACATAGTACACACACATAGTACACACACACCACACACACATAGTACACACACATACCACACACACCACACACACAGAGTACACACACATAGTACACACACACAGTACACACACACATAGCACACACACAGTACACACACTACACACACACACATAGTACACACACACACATAGTACACACATAGTACACACACATAGTACACACACACACATAGTACACACACATGGTACACACACACACCACACACACACCACACACACAGAGTACACACACACACATAGTACACACACACCATACACACAGGCCACACACACACTCACATAGTACACACACACAGGGTACACACACGTAGTACACACACAACAGAGTACGCACACAGTACACACACCACACACACAGTCCACACACACCACACACACACCACACACACATAGGCCACACACACACATAGTACACACACACACATACCACACACACAGGCCACACACACATAGTACACACACACATAGTACACACACACAGTACACACACACAGTACACACACCTAACACCCCACAAACACACCACACACACAGTACACACACATAGTACACACACACGCACACCACACACACACAGCCCACACACACAGTCCACACACCACACGCTTAGTCCACACACACAGTACACACACACACAGTACACACACGCACACCACACACACACACACCACACACACTTAGCCCACACACCACACACACAGTCCACACACCACACGCTTAGCCCACACCACGCAGGCAACGTACACGTGCGCACACTACAGCGCTGCAATAGGCACAGTAATAGCCATTGCTGTAGCATCGACATCCTGAGGCATGCTCACTCCACTGCTGGATGAAGCCTTCCAAAACAGTCGCCCTCTCTCACGGCCCTGCAATGCACCCAACCAGATCCTACTCGCACCCTGCACACGAACTCATCCCACACCCCCTCCCCCCATCACAGAGCCAGTCCGGGCTCCCTGCTTGAGCTGCCGTTCCGTGCTCAGTCTCGGCCAAAGGGGTTTCTTCGTCCCTTCTTGCCCACGTCTCCTGCCTCGCCGGACTGCGTTTCGTTCACCGCCGCGAACGTACACACCCAACAAGTTTCCAGAAATTTTCGACCTCTCCCCAATAAAAAAAAATGTTGTAGGCATATAAATGCCTAACACATCCGACACACAATCCAGTCTGGAGTATCTGCACACATTTGAAGTGATGAGAAGCCCTCCACAGGAGCGAGAATAAAGTTTGCGAAAAAGAGCTTCATAGCTCATCGGATTCCTCCACTATAAATACAAATTATGTTGTGTGTGTGTATATACTGTACTGGCATACATCAACCATACTACACAGTGATTGCTATGGTAATTCAAAAGTCACTTCTACATATAGAATTGTGTGATGCGCATATACATGCGCTGTATACCGCATGCAATGCGAACACAGTGAGGCATGCACGGGCACCACGTGTACCTGTAAGGCAGGGCACTCACATTTGCATGCTCACACAATGCAT